TTCGTTCTGAAAATGTTCTGTGCTGGAAATAATGAAAAAACATTCAACGAATTGCATCTTCGAAACAAAACAAACGAAAAAAAATGGAACCGAATTCGGGATTCGGATCGATTTTTTTCTTCCCATTATGATTGTTTGATGCTTGTTTGTTTCCAAACATTTTTTGTCATTTTGTTTGTATGTAATTAGCTAGCTAGTTTTAGCTTTAGCTAGTTTTTTCCTCATTTCATTTCAGTTTTGCTTTGGAAAAACAAATTTTCTTTTCTTTTTTGAAATGAAAAAATTGTAACAAATTTAATGACCAAAAAAACATCATTGAAATGATGATGTTGATGATGATAATATAGAGAATTTTTTTTCCATTATTCAGTAACTAGGTTTGTTTATTTCTGTTTGTTTGACACGTGTCAAAATTTGAATGAATTTTTAACACGTGGACAACTTGAATTCATTTTTATTCATTTTTGTTTTGATCAGCTAGATTCAAACACACAAACAAGCAAACAAAAAGAATCGTTGCATCAATTTATAAAGATTTTTTTTTGTTTATGTTTTTTAATGAAACAAGCAAAATTAACTTTCAGAGTGATGATCATGATGAAAACAGATAAAAAACAATGTTTGAATCCAGAACCAGAACCAGAACCAGAGAGAGAGAGAGAGAGAGAGAGAGAGAGAGAGAGAGAGAGATAAATTGTTTGTTCAAACTAAAGAAAATTAATTGAAGAATTAATCTTTTTTCATTTTCATTTTCACTATCTAATGCAAAAAGTGTGCATCCCGATTAAAATGAATGAATGAAAAAATTTCATTTTATTCAGGATGGTGGATCCAAAAAATGGCCGGATACTGTTTTTTGTTGATCCCAGGATCTGTTTTTTTTTTCACTGTTATCGTTGTCATTATTGGATCAAAACAAAATTAGATTGATGATCATGATCATCATCATTGATGATAGTTTTGCATTGTTTTGGGTCAAATTTGTTTGTTTCCAAAACAAAACTAGATTAACTGTATAAAACCAGATGGACAATTTATTCGTTAGTTCGTTCAATCCGATTAAATTTTTTCATATAACATCAACGGAAACATTGCTTAACATCACTTATTACGTAACAGTGGATTATATCTATCTGTATGCACTGTGTTTGTGGATGACAAATTGGTTTTACAGCAGCAACGACGAGAAAAATTGCAATATGGAATGAAAGATGCGTTTGATATGGTTGTTTTTTTTAGTTTCGTTTGTAAAAATGATGATGATGGCATGGCAAAAGGAAAATTTATCATTATGATTATGACGACTATTTTGACTGCAAAAGTGTAATTCAATAATTTAACTGATGAAATGATGTTTATGACCGGAATATTATCGATATATCTTAATTACCGTTGTTTGTTTTTTTTCATATTTAATTTCTTCCTGATCTATTTTAGAAATTCGACTTGAGTGATGTGATGTAATGTTTGTGTGTGATGTGTTACGGGGTTAAATTTTTTGAAAAAATAATCATGTCTGAAAACAAGCAAGCAACCAAGCGAGAATAAATTAATTAATCAAACCCCCCCCCCAAAAAAAAAAAATTCAATTCAAATAATAAAAAACAAAGAAGAATCCCTAAAGATAATAAAGCGTTAACAGTTTATTATTATTATTATTATTATTATTATTATTATTTTGTTCCTTTTGATAACTGAAAAGACAATATTCATTGATAATTAATGAACTTTTTTCTTTCTTTCTTTCTTTTGGTTTCTTTTTTGGGGTTATTCTTTCATAAATACTCTGACCAACCAAGAAAAAAAAAGGAATGAGTTGAACGAATGGTGGGAGAAAAACTTTAACCCCTCGGAAGAACAGAAAAACAAAAACAAAAAAACTTTTCATTTTGTCAGTCAGTTAGTTTAATATTCGTCGTTGATATCTTAATCCTATACGGAACTAGCAATGAATTACGTGTGTTATGTCGCGTTACTTTATTACTTTTTGTTTCTGTTTGTTTGTTTGTTTGTTTGCCTTATGTAATTCCTTCTTGGTTTTTCAAAATGAAAGTTTGTTTTCGGGTTTTTTCTGGTTTATAAAATGAAATTGATAATTAATTATTAATTATTCTAAGAAAGAAAGAATCCAAAAAAAGAATCCAAAAAAGACTTTTTTCTTGCTGTTTTTCTGGTGTTTACCCAAGGAACATTTTTATGTTTTTTTGGTTGGCTGGTTGGTTATTTTGACGCTTCTCTTTCTGTTCTGGATATAAATAAAGAAGAAAAAAGGTGGCAATGCGAGGAGAACTAACTACAGAACTAAGGAGTAAAAGAAAGAAAAACTTTTTCTTCCTCACTGACATCTTCTTCATGATGATGATGGCGAAAAAATACAGTGTTTTTTCGGCTTCTTCACTCTCTCTCTCTCTCTCTCTCTGAATGAATGAATTATTAATCAAATGCTTCAATGGTTTGACAGATTTTCCTTTTTTTCATTCCTTGTTTACGGTTTTTTTTTTAATTCTTTATTTATATTTTACGTTTGCAAATTTAAATTTTTCTAGTTTTACCTGTGTGAAATTTGGTAAATTATTATTATCGACCTTTACCTTGATTGAATTGCGAAAACCACCACCACCATTATATTCAGTTTGATCATTCATTTTCTGGTCAATAAATGGTGTTTCTTGTTGATGTTTGATTTTTGATAAGTTTGAAAAATTCAGTGTCAGAAGTTCAATGAATTTCTATCTTGTCTTTTATTGGCCACCATTTTTACCAATCACAAACACATAAAAAAAACTCTGAAAAGATAATTGTACGATTGGAATTTTGCAAAAATCAAATAAAAATTGTCTAGATTTGATCGTTTGTTTTGGTTGTTTTTGATGTTTTATTTTCACGTCTTTCAAACGTAATAAAAATAAAAATTGAACGATTTCAACCTGGCAATTTCTTATTGCCAAAACATAAACCTTCCTTATTTTCTCTGATTGAATATAAGGTGTGTGTCAAAAAGAAGCAAGCAAAGCTTCGATTCTTTTTCGTCTTCGTCTTTGCTTACCTTCGATCTTAATGATGATGGCCAGGTTTAAAGAGAAAAGCCATAGCCATAATTTTCTTTGGTTGCAATTTAACCGGATTGATTGGATAATTATGATAATCACATCCAAAGGAGGGGTGAGGAGTAGGGAAGAAAATGAAATAAAATAAAGTTCCAGAAGTTGGTTGGTTGGTTGGCTTTTCAACTTTTTTTTTCTTCTTCTTTTACTCTTTCGCTTCATCATCATCATCATCATTATTATGATTTATTCAAGTTGAATGTCTTGTTTTGATTCGGAAAACTTCAAAAACTTCAAAATTTTTAAAAATCAAAGGAGAGAGAGAGAGAGAGAGAGAGAGAGGGAGAGAGAATCAAGGTAAGTCAAAGTTCACTGATTTTTCACCACCATTACCACCACCACCGCATTTTTCAATCTTTCATCACCATTCGTTCATCATCATCATCATCAATTATCATTATCCATAATTTTTTGTTTTTGTTTCTTTTTCTGTTGATTATAATTATCATTTTTATAATGTGATTATAATTTTGATTCGATCAACCCTGGTCTTTCATTTTTTTTTTGAATTTTAAATAAGATCATCAAGTTGATGGTTAAATTGATGGTGGTTGTGAATGGTGGTGAATGATGGTGGTGGCTTAAACTTGGTTCAATGCCATTATTATTATTTACCACCAAGAAATTTATCATTTCGAATGGATAATTTCTTTCATCACCAAACACACAATCCATTCATTCATTCATTCATCATCATCAAAATACAATGTTTCTTTGCTATATTCTTTGTGCAAAGAATTTTCTCAATTGTCATTTGTTTCATTTTGACATTTAGGTGATGAGAGGGGAGAGAGAGTGGAGGGTTAAAAAAAAGCTATTTTAACTTGATTTTTTTAATTTATTTATTTATTTTCATTAACAAACCAAAGAATCATCAACATCCAGTAATTTTGATGTTCGTTTTTTTTCTTTTATATGTTTGGAGTATGTAAGTGTTTAGTTTAGTTAGTCGATATTGCAAATGGACAATTTATGTTTTGTTGATGTAAGAAAATTTTTTTCATAGACTTTTCACAGCCAAAAAAAAAAACAAAATATCCAAAAATGTGGTTGTTTATGAGAGAGTTTTTGTTTTTCTGGCTTCGCTCTTCATTTTTGTTCGTTGTTTTGTTTTGTTTTGTTTTTGAATCAAATAAAAGTCTCGTTGGTTTGGTTCTCACCAATCGAAATCAATCGACAGATGTTTAAACAGAGCAAGCAAGTAAGCAATCAAACAAGCCAAAAAAACAAAAGATAGGATACCACCACCAAATTATCATCATTATTATTTTGTGTTCATTTGGAAAATTTATTGTCGTTTTGTTTTGTTGTTGAATGTTTCTCTCTTTCGTTTTTCTCTCACTAAACTTGTTGTTTTCGTTTAGTTTTTTTTAAATGTGAAAATAGAAGAATTTTCATTCTGTAGAAATTCAATACCCTGATATTCTATAGAAATCAACAAAAAATAAACATCCAAATGTGGAAAAAATTAACACTGGATTTTTCCCTTGGTTCGATTTTGTTTTTTGTTTTGTTTTGTTTTTCTTTTGTCTTTTGTTTGTTTCTGTGCCCCAAAAAAATGATAATAAATTAAAATTTGGTCAATTTCAAAAAGCCATACATATGGTTTCAATTTAAAACAAAAAACGAAAAACCCAGAGAAAATTTATAATGAAAAACTTGTGTAGATCGAAACAAATAAACAAACCTCGCTATGATAATTTGTGGTCAGAAATAAATGTGTCCATCTTTGTAAACACCATGTGTCCATTTTTGTTTGGTGTTTCAAATCAATATTTTTTTTTCGGAAAATTTCTTTTTCGGAAAATTTCTTTCCTGGAAATTTCTAATTTTTCTTTTTCTTATTTCTGATTTGTAATAGATGCCAATCTAACATTAACAACATTGGATATTATAAATTTAACAACAACATTACATAATTCTCATCATTTAAATCATCATCATCATTTGCATAATCATAACCATCATAATTCATCGTTATCAAATTCATCATCCACGACAACGTCAAAATCGACATTAATAGCAATAACCAATGATGATGAATCTAGTTTGCCATTGTTGCCTTTTGTTGAATCATCTACATCATCTGCATCCGAATCATCATTCAATCATCAAATACATCCAGATAAATCCAATCCAAAAGGTTTACGTTTTGAAGAAGAACCATCGGATTCATATATTGTACGTAGTAAATCAGCTTTATTACGTTGTCGTACATTAAATGCATTGAATGCATGGTTTACGTGCAATAGTGGTATGTGTTTATCAAAATGATGATCGATCAAAATCGATCAAAAATCAATCAATTTTTCAATTCGGAAAAATCAATTTTTTTAACCCTTTAGGTGATGAACGTCGTATACAACAGAATCAAAAAATATCCAATTATGTTGATCCACAAACCGGTATTCGTTTGGTAAGTTTTTTTTTCAATTTTCACTATTTTGAATGAATAATAATAAAATTTAGCCTGTAGGGTTGATATAGTCGTTTCCCTTATACACATCTATATCAGTCTTTTCCCTCTTCTTCTTCTTTTGGTTACATCATCATGATAATTCTTTTTCAATCATCGATTATTGAAATGGTTGAATGATTTCTTTTTTCCCTTTCCTTTCTTTCAACAATGTCATCACTATGTGAAAAACAAAATAAAGTGAAAATTTGTTGTCATCACTAACATCACAATCGGGTTATCGTGGTGGTTACAAACGATGATTGTCATGATGATAGAATCAAATGTTGTTAACACGGGATTTTCAAACATTAGACAGTGCAGCAATGATAGTGAAAATAGAAAATAATAATAACTTTTTGTTGTTCCAATTGGGTTGATTTTTTTTTGGAAATTCAATCTAGTGGAAATAGTTGTGCTTGTAGCTAATACACATGTAGAATATTCCATTGTCAAACTGTACAAGAAACAACAACGAGAGTAGAAATAGTCGTCTGTCATTTTTGCAAATTATTTTATCAAAAATTCGGGATCAAGAACAAAAGACAAGCAAAAAACAATCGATGCGTAATAAAAAAACATGAATGTTTCGTTTTTTCTAACCCAAAACCCTATTATCATCCGCATCAATTTTTACGTGAAATAAAAAAACATCATCAAACGCTTGGTTGGTTGGCTGTTTTCAATGGAAATTCAGAAACTAGCTTGAGTTTGACAAGCGTTTGCTTGTTTGTTTTGTCATTTGTAAAAGATTCTTCTTTCTTTCTTTTTTTACAAAAACAGAATTTTAATCCAGAAAAAACTTTGGAAATTTGAAAACCATAAAGTCCGACTATAGCTACAGGGAAATTTCCCGGGATTCCCAAGGATTCTTCTTCTTCTAGGAATGTTTTTCCGAAATGATAATTTGGTGATATTTTTTTTGGCGTGAGCCGCATTCATTTTGTTCATTTTGTTTTTTGTTTTTCATTTGGATAATGTTTCTGCATTTCATTCAAATTGATGATAAGAAACCATCATCGTTGGTGAATCAGTGGAATCAGTGAAAAGAAAAGAATTTGAAAAACAAAAACAGAATTTGAAAAACAGAATTTGAAATAAAGAAAATGAATAAATGGATGGTTGGTTGGTTGGTTGTTTGAATAAACATTTTTTCGCTTTTCTTTTGTTTTTTTCACGAAAAGAAAATTGAAAATTTCAAAACAATTGTCAGCACACACACACACACACAGCATTTATCAATTTATCTTCTTCTTCTTCCTGATTTCGTTTTTGTTTCACCAACACCATGGCGCCCATCTTTTTCCTTTTTCTTTTTTTCCATTGCATATCTCTCTCTCTCACTCTCTCTCTCTCTTTGGTTGCTTGTCTATTCTGTTCTGTTTGTTCATGCAAAACAATAAACATCACCAGAATCTTTGGAACACAGATCTATTTTGGATCATTGAATTGAAATGAATTCAATTTGTAAAATGTAAAAGAGATTTTCTTCCCCAGCGATCAAAAAAGAAGAAGAAAATATTTCAAAATTTTGTTTTTCTTCTTTCCGAAGAAAAATATCCCAAAGATGGATCGATCAATGTGTGTGTGTGCGATTATGATGATAACAGGGAATAAATTTTCGAAAAATATTTTTTCGTTTTGAAAATTTTGTTTTTTTTGAATAATTTTTTCTGAAAAAAATTCAACACAAAAAAGCTTAAAGCATCACGCGATGAGCTTTTCACCTTTTGTTTGTTTTGTTTTGTAAAATATGTTTGTTATTCTCGAAAAGAGAGAATTTAATCCATCAATTTCAAACAAAACAAACAAAAAACTTATGTGGATCCAATAATCCATCATATTCAAAGAATGTCAATGCAAGGAATTTTTCCATTGAAAAAAATTGAATGACCAGAATTCTTCTTTTTTCGGGTAACAACAGGAATTGAGTTGTTCTTTTTTTCTGGAAAGTTTCTTTCCCTGAAAACTTTTATTGGCGTATAAGTTATTACCATCATCTTTGGCGCCTTTGAAAAACCACAAATATTTTTTTTCTTGATCATTTTTGTGTTTTTTGTACCACACAAAACAGACATTGATATGGTGTTTATGACAACAACATTTTTCTCTTATTTTCATGTTGTGTGTCCATCAAATGTCATCATCATCCAAATTCAAATATTCTTTTTTATTCGCTTGTTTATGACAGAATCGTTTGTCATAAATGCAAGCGAATAAAGAAAAGAAAACGATGTTTTTTCTATTGTGGAATTTCGATAAAGAATATTTTGGCAAAGAATAATAAAAAAATTTTCCTCTTTTTTTCATATCGATTCTTTTCATTGTCACAGAATTTGAATTGAATATTTTCAATGGAAAAAAACGACAGATAAATTCGCTTTTTCTTATTTCGTTGATTTTGGGTTTTTTTGAATGTCCGATTCTTTTCGAAGAATTTTTTTTTCAATTTAAATTTTTTTCAATAAAAATTGAAATGTTTATGACCAAATCATCAACAACAGCCAAACAACCAAACAGCCGATATGTTTTTTTTTCGAAAAAAATTTTTTGAAAAATTGAATTTTTTTTAACACAAAGAATCATCATTGTGTTAAATATTCAACTTTATTGAATTTCAAAAAAGAGGGGGAAAAAAATTCGAAATTGAATTCTGAAACCAAGAGAAATTCTTTAAGAATTTTTATTTATTTTTTTAAAACTTTTTTTTCATTGTCATTATTCTTTTCTTTGTCATTTTGATTAGATTGAAATCGATTTGGAAATAACCCGAAGCGATGTTGAAGAACATCAAAATTCTGGATATACAAATCCATATCAATGTTGGTGTACAGCATATGGTGGTCATCATCAAATTATGAGCCGTAAAGCATCCGTTTCATTTGCATGTAAGTTTTTTTGTAAAAAATTTTTTTTCAAGAAATTTTCCTCTAAACTCATTTTTCGGGAATAATTTTCGGGATTCAAAAACAAAAAAAAATTTCCAGAATATTTCTTTTACCACAACCACTCTCACCGTTACTAACAACCACCGTTAACATCCACCCACTAATTTTATTTACGGAAATGTTTTCGGAATAAAAACCAAACACTAGTAAATTCTGTACCAGATTTATTATCGCTGTCATTACTTATTCTGTTACTTTACTTTACTTTATTCTGTTACACAATAAATACAGTCTCTCTCAGTTTCTAAACGCACACACAAAATCATTTAGTTGCATTTCCGAGACTAATTTTCAAAATCAATTTTTTCGTTTTGAAACTCACAATTCTCTGTCAAATGCAGATGCATTGTTCTTTTTTAAACCCGATGCAAATTGTCGTTGTTTTGCTATTTTTGTTTCGTTTTTTTCTTGTTTCGTTTTGCTCGACAAATTGATTTTTTCTTTTCGGTATTCTTAAAATGAAAATTATTATTCTGTTGTTTGTTTCATTTCTTTGCTAAATAACTTTTTTTTTTTGCGCTAAATGATTTGATAAACCAAAAATGAATTGAATTGCGAAAGTTTTTCTATCAGGGCGAGGTTCTATTTATTCATTTATCGTCGGTTCCATTATTTGAATGAATGAATATTTTGGATCATTTGGATAGAAATAGTTTTTTTTCGTTATAGAAATTGTTTTCATTGTTGTTGTTGTTGTTGTTGTTGTTTGATATTGATTTGATTTGATTGTTTCCCTAAAATTCAATCAAAATGAAATAAACACGCAAACAAAACAAAAAACAAACCTCGATAAACATAAGAGACAAAGAATAATAACACCGATTGGGTTGTAACTTTTGTTTTTCTAACCAGAACAATTTCTTTTGCCAGAATTCAGAACATTTTCTATGTTTCCATAGAGCGATCAAATATTAAATTTGATTTCTGATTTATGATTTTTATTGATTAAAAATTGATTGATTTTTTGATTTGATTTGATTTGATTGATATATGATGTCAACAACAACAACAAAAACTTTCGAACAGGAAACAGAATTACAAGATTTTCTTCGTTTTTCCTTGATTTTGATTTGAAAGTTTCTTTTTTTTCAAACTTACTTCCTTTCCATAAACTTTCTTTCTTTACAACTACAGCAGCCAAAATATCACTTATCATTTTCATATATGATAATAATAAAAACAAAGTGGATCGAACAAGAATCGAGAGAATCAAGAGAATGTTAGTGAAAATTCAAGCGTAAAATAAAAAAAAACTAGCAAAACAATGATCATCGATCATTTGTGATGATTGTGTGGATGTCGTCACATTAGATTGAATCTTCTTTCGCTTCTCTCTCTCTACATATAGAAAAAAAATTGATAAAAACTTACGAACCAGAATTGCTATAGTTGGCTAGTTTGCCATATACACATCTCTATCGTTTGTTCGTTGGTTGGTTGGTTGGTTGTTGCAATTGTTTCGTCATTTGATGATGACATATATATTGGAACAAAGTGATCATCGTTTTTTCTGTACTATCACCACCCCCTCTCTCTCTTTTCGACTATATCGACTCTCTGTGTTTCTTCTTCTTTCGTGTTTCTGTTTTGTATTAGATTTTTTCTTTTTGAAATATTTGATTTGCTTGGAAATTCAATTACATTTTTGGTACATGGTCGAGAAATGATACTGCAGTCAAACAATGACATTTTCCTACAGAAAATGTTTTCACCATTGGAAAAAACATGGAAAGAGAGAGAGAGAATTCACAACTATCATTATCATCATTGGCTACTATGCTGAGAGATGGGTACGCGAGGAATAAACGATGAAAAAAAAGAAAATCGGGAATTTTTTTCGGGAAAAAAAACTTAACCGAAAACCGTTTTTTTCGACTGAAAAAAAACCGTTTATTTGATGATAA